ATTGTAACACTGGGTTGTGTTGAGCACGAGAGCTGTTGGCATTTAGAGAGCACTGAGGGCGGGCATCAGGTGAGCAAGCTAGTGAAACATTGCACGCGCAAAAGAGAAGGTCTGCACATATCCAAAAACGTATTTTAAATGCAAAATTGATTTTCGTACGCTCGAAATACTTTTTTCTTTGCGAAAAGAATGTTTTCTCCACAAAACTCAGATTGCGCGCGTGCAAAATGCACTTTTGTGCGCTCAAAATATGATCTTTCCCGCGCAGAATTGTGGCAGAGATCTAAGCCTATAAATGACCAGCACAACATATACATTATAATTCGTCAATTCCCTTAAATGATTCGTTGTCAATGCTGTTTCAGATCAATACTTGAAAATGACCACTAGGTGTCACCGTAGAGACGGGTGTAGAATTGTTTCGAAGCCTCGGCACATTTGCTTCGACTGTTTCAGTGTTTCATTAAAGCCATTTTTTTTACAGGGTTCCTTCTGCAGGTTCTGCAGGACTGCACAATTTGGATGTCTCCTTTATTTTACACACTCATTTCACTTCATAGAGCATTTTAAGCATTTTACAATCAATGAAAACCGGCATTTTATCCAAACCGTGTAGTTTTGAGGCCCTCCAAGACCTGGATCAAGAAATACTGAGCTATGTAAGTGCTTCTCAACCCTGTTCCTGAAAAATACACATTTTGGGTGGCTTTCATGTCTCCCGTATCCTAATCTCAACATAAAAAATTCAGCAAGGAAGGTTGATTCATTACATTATGTCATTTTATGGACTACACAATTTGCATTTCCTAATTTGATGTTGTTAAATTATAATAATGTTAATACACCAACATATTTAAGCTACAAAATGTACTGATAGCAACACAGCTGATACAATGGAAGCCCACATGATCACCCACACTGTAAAAAAAGTTTTTTTTAAGTTGTAAACACTCATTGGAGTGTGTTTTACAAGAAAATACTATTTCAGTCTTTATACTTCCAAATTGCACATTTAATTCAACGTGTTACTTTTCCCGATACTTTGTAATTATTTGTGATATGTAGTATTAATTACTATTAACTAAACATCATAAATATTTAAATAATACCAATAATTAAAACAAAAATAATAAAAATACATTTTTGATGGATCACACAGGGAATTTAATTTTTTTCAAATATTTCACTGTAAAATAAACTATGCATGATGTTTTAAATATAATTTTAAAAATCTCTTTAAATCAAAAGGTAATTAAGACTTATTAAGACTCATTAATAAACTTTTACAATATTTTACAGTGGAAAAAAAGAATGTCCACACCAAATACTTAAAGGAGTTAGTACATAAAAATGACTTTGGTGCATGAGACCCCAAAAAACAATACCAAAGTTCAACAAAGAGAAGAGCTTGCACACATAATAGTAGCAGATTTCTTACAAAAAAATTGATTTATAGGCCAAAAATGTGGAAAAGAAAAGTGCAAAGAGCTCAGTGCAAAAACAAAACGTTTTCAATTCACATCATCATCAGTTTTTTTTTTTCCTAACAGTAAATGTATATGTATTGTCTTTTAAATATGCCATTTATTTGCAGAATATAATATGGTAACCTTTTTTTTAAAATATTGTTCTCATTTTAGGTCTTGGAGCATTCATCCAAAATGTGCAGTACTGGGGCTCGTCCAGGACCCGGATCGAGAAGCACTGCTCTACATCAGCACCGCGGACAGCGACCATTCAAACACAAGACTGAGAATACAAGCGCTCAAAAACACTCCGGGTCAACCTGCCTCTCCACTACGCTGCAGGGCCCATTGAAACGATGTTTTAGTGGGATTTCTACACTACAGCAGCTGAGCTGGTGTTTCTGTGCACAGCGTCTGTGTGGTGCCTCAAAACTGCTAAGAAACCTCATGATGACACATTCAATTAAATTGTTTCACTGTAAGGTAGATGAGACCCCTGACGAGAACAATTACTGCACACAATTATATTACTTACTGCGTCGTGCAGGCTCTTTTGGGAACGGTCTGTGGAGATGGTCCTTGAGGGATGCTCGATATAGCCAGCGTGTGTGTGCGTCTGTACGTGTGCGTACTAGTAAGACGACAGGTAAATAAATATGCTCTTTTAATTGCTCGCGCTAGGCGTTCACTACGCACAGCTTCGTATTAAACTTCATCCGCCAACTGCCTCCGTGCGCGTGGAACGATTAATATTGCGTGCGTCGCTTGTGTGCGAGATTACAATTGCTTTTAAATATTCGTGTGATTAAATAACAGTCGAATGTTTT